CCCACAGAAAATTGAATAGGTCCTGATATTATGTTGCAATAACTTTAACGATTTTCTTTCTTTTCTAATTTTTATAAAACCCAATAAATTTGTGAAGAAAACAATGACACATTTCTGTCAATAAATCAAACTACTTGCATTTTCAAAACATATTGCATGTCTAAAGGCATTATTTTGTAAATATAGTAAGGTTACTTGTAAAGATGTTCACATTTAATCCCACTACTTTAGCTATATCATTCATTTTGATCTAAAACCTCAGTTTTCACTAATATTCAGAGGATGTCTTATATCCTATCACGTGACTTTAGGTAGGTTGACATATTATGCTAATAATAGGAGGAGCTTCGTTCCATTTTTACAGACCATTAAAACTAATCTTCCTAAACTAGCACGTTTTAGCGGGTAAGCTATGTGTTGACTTTGAACTTTTATAGGTAAGAATGATTAAAAGGACGGCCATAAACATAGAATATCAGGGTGTTCGGACATCTCGGTACTTAAATCTGACTAGAATATCAGGGTGTCCGGACATCTCGGTACTTAAATCTGACTAGAATATCAGGGTGTCCGGACATCTCGGTACTTAAATATGACTAGACTATCAGGGTGTTCGGACATCTCGGTATTCTGACTAGAATATCAGGGTGCTCGGACATCTCAGTACCTAACTCTGACTAGAATATCAGGGTGCTCGGACATCTCAGTATCTAACTCTGACTAGAATACCAGGGTGTTCGGAAATCTCGGTACCTAAATCTGAATTAATATTTAAATGTTTTTCAGAAACGTTGTTTCCCTCGTTCAGTTGAAACCGTAAAGGATTGTTGTAAAATCTTACAACAATCTAAAAGTAGATGTTTTTCAGTGTTAACTACATTAATATATTTATGAAAATTGTAAAGTATTTCTTCTTCGTTTTGGTATAACTGTGTTTTTTACCTTAATTTTAAGATACCTAATAAGAAAGAAAACCCTGAAAAAACTTTTATTACCATTTAGTAAAACTGATACTGCTTTTGCTTTAAGATCACTTACACTGAAAAATTACTGATGGATAAATTTCACCTTTTAATATTTTTAACTCCTAATTCTGCGTTTGATATCATAATTTAATTTAATTCATAAACCCCAAACTTGTGAATTAGTTTTGTACATTTGACTCGAAAACAGATAGAACTTGACTAATGGTGTCAAAACATCCATAACGAGTAAAAAATAACATTAAATTTAAAACACAAAATAAAACGCAATTAAAATTATTATTTGAAGAACCATCTTAGAAGTTGAATAGGCTAAACTGTGTTTTCGAACTGTAAATATTATTTGCATTGCAACTTTTATTTCAAAATATAAAATCAGAGAATATATGCGTAGTGAGGATAAAGGGATAAAAAAAAATCATTATGCGTAATTAAACTGAGTGTTAAGAATCGCCAGTGGAAAGAAAAAAAGGGGTGTATGTTAACACAATACCATAATGCGTTGTAGCTCCCCTCCCCCTAAATAATTTTTGGTAAAATAATGTGCTAAATTCCAAACGTGGCTGTTGTATTACAGGAAATAACAAATAAATAGTTATTTAAAGATTACAATATTTAACTTTTATTTCATATAAAAACAAACTTGCAGCGGCAATAACTATTTTATTGATAAATATGTGCCGTCGAAATCATGATGTGGTAGGTTTACGTTTAAAAACAGTTTTGTATTCTATGTCTTCAAAATACAAAATAACGTATTGCTGATAGAGAGAGAGGGGGGGGGGACCAGATGCATGAATGTGTATGTAATAATGTAACATTTGTATTTAATTCAAAACACATATGTCTTTATCATTTGATATATGTCCATTGGTGTTCTCAATTGAGTTATGTCTTATTTCAGATTTGAGCAAAGTAAGAAGAATACAAAGATACAGACAGTTGAGATTGAAAGTCATGAAACTCGAAAATAACAATACATCATAAAAACGACTGTTAATTGACGTCTATGTCATGTTCTAATCTGGTTGTGTGCCTATTAATAGGTACAGGAAAAATAATTACTTGAAACAGAAATAAGAAAGGACGACTTGATATTTGGGTATTTATCCCGAGAAGAACAATTCACACGAAAGAGCGTTTATATATAATTTTTTATATTATATTAATTTATGTGTTTTAAATTACAACTTTCATTTATTCTATTACTGAACCAAGCTACTAATGGTGCATTATTTTATTTTGCAAAACTCTTTTGTCTGTGTCTTCTGAGTTTTGAAATCTTAAAAATTGCAATCCCAGAACAAGCTTGTTCTATATACTTGTACATCATAGTTGCCTGCCTCCTTTTCTTCGGAAAGTAGTACCAAACCCGTTATTTAACAACCCCAGAACAAGCTTGTTTATATACTTGTACATCATAGTTGCCTGCCTCCTTTTCTTCGGAAAGTAGTACCAAACCCGTTATTTAACAACCCCAGAACAAGCTTGTTTTATACTTGTACATCATAGTTGCCTGCCTCCTTTTCTTCGGGAAATGTTACGAAACTCGTTGTTTAGCAACCCCAGAACAAGCTTGTTTTACATTTGTACATCATAGTTGTCTGCCTCCTTTTCTTTGTGAAGTATTACCACACCAGTTATTGATGGATACTTTGTTGTACACAAACTAATCCATTTATGACCGTTCCAAAAAACAACAACAGACATATATAAATTTCAAGTCAACAACAACAAGAAACAAACACAGGACTTTAAAACAGTTTTCTACAATCTTTCCAAACAAAATATTTATGCAGCTAAATTGTAAGTAGGATCTTATAAGATAAATGCACTGATATTACATGAGAAAGTTGTCACTAAAGCACCATCTGCCACTCATCTCGTGTCAACTGCATAATTTATTTATTTTTTGCTTTTACTGCTTGACGAAACGGGTACATCCCGTGTGAGAGACTTGATCTTCCTGCTTTCTTCCCACGGACGTTCACTATTAAAAAACACGCATCAGTTCCCGTCATCAGATAGTATCCGTCTCCTCTTGTCTCTCTTTTTCTCCATATTTTTTCATCAAGAAATTCTGGTCTGTATATAGGCTTAACGAACTAATCCTTTAACTTGTTGTTTTTAAAAAAAGTAGACAAGGCTTAGAAGACAACAGGCTAACGTTAACTTCGAAAAAAGGTAATAAACGGACAGGAAGGCAATGACCTTATCACAGTGACGATAATAACACTGGCTATTTATGATGAATAATGTAATATTAATGTTATATGCGTGAAGGCTATAATAGTTCTGTTTACAGACATTCTGACAGGCTTGACAACACAGTTAAAGTTATAATACACTATATTAAAATGATTTTGGAGACAAACCACCATTGTATATTTCATGTTTCAGTCATGCTCTATCTGACGACAGTAAATTTTAGCATTAGTTTTACAGCGTAGTTTCTGTTGCAAAAGGCTGCGTCATTAGGCTGTCATACTCAGAACACACCTTTGCATGCTTTCCATAACTCATCTAGTTTACTAAAACGATAGCTTCAAAGCGCCTCTTTAAATTGTCCAAATGTACAGAAATTCATAGCTAACTTAACCAGTATGTCTTCTTATAGAAGAGCGCGAACACTCGTTCCATTCTCCAGCTGCTTGAGGTATGTAATGGTGAAATGCATATGTTGTGGAATCAGCTTTAGAACATGTGAGTTCTACTGTTTTTTTTTTCAGACGGAGATCCTTCTTGATTATGTTGTGTACTGTTGCCTGGGACACTTGGATGACTTTTACCGCTGACTTTTGTGTTTGTGGATTCTCACCAAATACAAGACAGCGCTATTGTTTCAGGTCTCTTTCTGTATGGTCATGGTATATCAAGCTGATTCGTTTCCCTTTATTTTCCAATGTCTTTAGATATAAGAGATATTCCCATCTTGGAAATTCAAAATTCCACTCTGAACACATTTTAATAATCTGAGTGTATGAATATTTTGCGTCGGAAAAGTCTATTACATATCGTTGCTAGAAGTGATAACTGTGCGGTGGTACTACACTACTCACGAATGCAAAGCACTGTCAAAATGTAGTTCTGAAAGGTACATTTCATTCACCTGCGATTTAATATCGGCTGTGAATTAAGCGTTACTTGCTGACTTCTAAATGGCCTATTGTTGCGCTTTCTTACCGAGATGACTAGTGCTTTGAGTGTTCAATGGATTATCTTGTATGTCTTCTCTTGACAGACCTATTGGACTGCGTCACGATATACTAATGTGATTTATTGTCATGTTGCTATGTAGATGTCCTGGTTATCTTAGTGTTTAATTCTTATAGCACTGTCATTTACCTTTTATGAGAATGAAGATGAAGTTTGATTTCCATATGTTTTACCTTTTCAAAAAAATCAGCCCCCCAGTTGCACAGCGGTATTTCTGCGGACTTACAACGCTAGAATCCGAGTTTCAATACCCGTGGTGGACAGAGCACATATAGACCTTTGTGTAGCTTTGTGTTTAATTACAAACAAACAAACAAAAACATCAAGATGACATCTGCTTTCCGTATCTTTAGAATATCTGTGCACATCTTAAGAACGCCAAGAAGGTGTCAAATGCTAACACAGTGTCTCAGTCTATACTTTAGCTACTATATCAAGATTATACATTCATGCATAATCATGATTTTTTATATATTCTATATATATACATATATGTCGTGATATTGTGTTATGCTATTTATATATCAAACGACTGCTCGAGTATAGAACTCAAGGCCCGGCATGGCCAGGTGGTTAGGGCGCTCGACTCGTAATCTGGGGGTTGCGGGTTCGAATCCCCGTCCCACCAAACATGCTCGCCCTTTCAGCCGTGGGGGCGATATAATGTGACGGTAAATCCCACTATTCGTTGGTAAAAGAGTAGCCCAAGAGATGACTAGCTGCCTTCCCTCTAGTCTTACACTGCTAAATTAGGGACGGCTAGCGCAGATAGCCCTCGTGTAGCTTTTCGCGAAATTCAAAAACAAACAAACAAACATAGAACTCAATAAATCTGTGAATGTAAGATAACTGCAAAGATTAAGAAAATTGTGACTTTATCAAAGATGCTATTGTAGCTTTAAATGAGAACTGACAAAACGAATATCTAACGTACGTAGATAATATTGTCGCGTATTTGTTTTTATTTTATTTATTTTTAACAGCTGGGAAGAGTAAGCAACTTTGAGTCGTCAGAGGTAAGAACTTTAACCTCTGCGAGAGATAGTTTGACTTTTACTTTTTTTGTTCCACCAGGAAGGCTTGCAGTGCTAGAATTCTGGGTGACGGTCACAGCGCAGATAGCCTATACTGCAGCTTTGCGCTAAAACAAAAACATAAAACACTTTAACATTGCCATCTCAGATGTGTAAGACCACTATAGGTGAATATCTCAGTATTGATAATAATTGGCTTATTTTGATATGTACCTAAACACTTAAGGAATTAAAGTTAAAATAACCTTAATTATGCATACACATAATATATATATAAGTTATGTAAATATTAATTAGAGATGTGATTTTTGAAAGATATACCTTAAAGCTCATACTTACCCGAAAGTTTATAAGTTTGAAGCAACAGTTATTTATGTAACAATGTTACAACATATTTTTATGATACACAATAAAGCACATAAAAGTAAATTCAACATATCCCTATGGTATGGTAGTCTGGACTAGCTAGTCCAGTACTCTTCAATTTCGAACTGAGATACAGATTTATCATTCTTGTAGTTGCATGTTAAAAGGCTTGAGTGTTTCAAAAGGAACAGCTGTTTTGGTTTTTGTTTTGTTTTAGTTAAAGAAGATGTAGACCTACATCTGACAGAGTTTCTGGCTAAATGCCAAATAGCTATCATTTTGATGCTTGTGAATGTGTGTTTGAGTGTAGGGGTTGGAGGGGGATTTTTTCTGATAATTCATATAGACGACTCAGCGAGTTTTATTGTAAGCCTGCAAATATTTTCAGTTTCTGTGTATAAGCTCTTAGTTATATATTTTTTAAATGTTGGAAACTGTGATAACTGCCATTGACTCAGAAGCCTTGACTTCCTTTTCAAAATTCCTCTCACCTTTCATAAAGTTTTATGATAAAGTGGCTAGCTTGAATTGGTAGGTCTGACTTGTCGTAGCTTCTTAACAGGTATAATGCTTTTACATTTTTCTCTCAGCGTCCCAGTTTAGTTCTTGATCATAACGTAGATGTGGAATGTGAGGCAGTGAGTGGTTTTATGACGTTATACAATCACTGCCTGGCTCAACAGTAATCTGGGATGTTTAGCCAGTATTTTAAATAACTTTATCTTTGATAATACAAACTGTTGAATATGGATTAAAGTATTATCTTTAACCTTCTTTTGATACTACATTATGTTAACTGACATGGAATTATCGAGAGTGTTTGTCCACATTTTCCTTGGTGTAAAGCCGAAACTCTTTTCTTTTTTATGGCAGAAAGTTTCAGATCCACTTGTGTCAGACTGTAAGAGCTCAGAGGGATCTCTCTGTTTTTTTCCTCCCATAAAAAGCTGAGTGGGAACCCACTAAGCACAAACTTTCTACGCGAATGACCTCACCTCTGAAGTCGTTCAGAAAGCGAAAGGCTTGCGTGACTGCTTATTCACGCCCGAGGATGGTGAATTGCCGAAAGATGTTTGAATACCATCACAGAATCGAATCGTGTCCAGAGACCCGCTTTTCAGCGGTGTCGTCAGTAAGCCTCCCGAAGCTAATCTCTCTTTAAAGTTTGCTGCCGGCAAACGAAGGGTCGTTCTGATCACGTTAACCTGAAAAAAATAGAATAAAATAAAAATAAAACAAAACTGGAAATATGGAAACCAGGTGTTTTCTATATAAGATTAAAAACATGAATGATGGAAAATTTTATTCAGCTACAAAAAGCGTCTCACACTCGTTTCTTAAACCATCAAAGGATCCATGAAGCACTACATCTACTTTATATTTCTTAAATTACTTAAAGTGTTATATTTCTAGAACCAGCTGCTTCGCATTACCTTAGCCTAATTATTTTGCCTCGATGCTAATAATCACTCAAAATTTACAACTGGAGCTTCAAAAACGACAAAGAAACGAGTATAAGGTTCCACTAGCAATTTCTGTTAATGACGCCTATTTCTATAAGTATAAAACATGTAACAACGATGTTAAAAACGATGTGTAAAAAGCACTAGAAAGATGCCCTTTTAAATTGGAGTTCAAGTGAATTAAGTAAGGACATTTGACGGTTAAATAAATGTAGGTTTTTGAAATTAATTCCAAATAATCGGTGTAGTCATTGTAGCTAAGTAGCAGCTAAGTCTATTAAGTATATATTAATATCTGTGTTTGTTAAGTATTACAATTCAATACCTCTAGATGGTGTAAAACAGTAACGTTTAAAGTCTGTGGGCTAGAGTACAAAACATAAAGTATTAAAATATACATCACTGTTAACCTATTGTTGAATATGTCATGTTTCACAAAAATAGTGAATGTCCTATGAACATACAATGGCTTAATAAGCTATTTCATAACTGTGTGTATTTTCAAGTATTTCTCATTAATCATGAACAGACATGACTTGGATTATGTTTTTTTAGTGCTTTACTCGTCTATATTTGTTTAAACATTACAGTCAGACCAACAAGGTTTGATACTATTACGCTAACACTATAAAATGTCATAACATAATGCAATCAAACAGTAGGTAATAGTTTAAAGGTTAAAGGAAATGGTTTACTGTTTTATGGAACATGTTAGGAAGAACTTAATAGTTTGTGGAATATTTTAGGAAATATTACATTATTATTGGGTTTGTAGACACGTGAAAGTAATTTTCTAACAACATTCGATCTTTAGTTGACAAGGGTATTATAATTATTTCAAAGCTATAATTTCATGTTATGAAAAACCATAAACAATGTGAGTAAACTATGATTAAAACATTTTATATGTTTTTACTTAAAAACAAATTTAGGTTAAAGTAATAAAACAAAACAATATGTATTGAGGTTAAAAAAACAATATTTGTCTTGTAATAAAACAAAACAATATGTATTGAGGTTAAAAAAACAATATTTGTCTAAATGAGGCTGAAGCAAAAGCAAATCGTAAAGAAAATATTTTTATAAAATGCCTAAAGTTTTGATAGACTATCTTACGTTCTTTATACTGTAATAAGTTAGAAAAAACGTAATGATAAGGCTTATGAGACTTATTATAAGCTTTTCTTACTGTGTTTACTTATTTATTAATCTCAAGAACTCTAAATTTATCAAAATAGATAAATTGTGAAGTGGGATTGCATGCATACTTTCAGGTAAAATCACCACCCTTCTTCTCCTCATTGTAAAGTATTAGAATACATAAGTATTGTATTCTAAAATTTCATTCTACCTTCACTTTACTCAACTGACTCAATTCAAAATGTAAATAAAATAGGCTAGATTTCCTATATTTACATATTTTACTTAGAAACATAACCACTGTTACTTGTTTCGTAATTAATCTTTCAGTACCTAGTAATAAGGAATGAAGTTAGCATGCTGTGGTAAGACTCAGGCGAACACAAATTATTTTACAATAAATATAATTGGTATGAAAGATTTACGTAAGATACAAATATTTCTTCAATTTATAGTGGACGTCTTTTGTTACAAGTCAGGGTGGGGGCTTTTTTTTTCTTTTATTTTCGGTTAGCAGGTTAATATAATATGTTGTTCAAGCAGGATATTAACCCTTGCCATAAATCACAAACGACTCATGCTTGGTATGGCCCACCTACATCCCAGATATTTTAAACGTACAAAAAGCATTGAAAACCGAAATGGAAGGGGGGGGGGTAATTCGAAAAATTTGTTGAGTTTTGAAAAAAAAAAAGAATGGAAACAAATTACAAAGACGAATTCAAATTCGATGACGAAGAACCCACATAACTGTAATAAACTTTCTTTCACTACCCATTCAAGCTGTCTCCAACCTTTATTCAAATTACAAAGACATCTGTCAGACTCTAACTGTGAATAGATATCACAATGTTTAGAATGACATTTATTGTAATGGTATCAAAACTCAAAATAAACATAAGAAATTTAGTATTATAATGTATAATGCCTAAAATGACATAATGTAATTTTTTCTTCAATACTGAAGTGACGAGATATCACAATTAGATTGTCATTCTCTACTGTTGTCATGCTGGTTTGTTTCAACTAAGAAAATTATAAAATATTTGAAGTATACATGTTTTCTTTTGTCGACTATTATCGAAGAGGCTTTTCGCACAGTATCAGAGCTCATCATTGAGTACATCTTGATGTATCCAAGAGCTAGGCTAAACGCTTGTGTTTCAGTAATTATTCGTTGCCAAAATAGCATACACTGCAGTCACTTTAAATTTAAAAGTTAGCTGTCACTTTTATAAGTTACCAGCCGGTTTCTTAAAGATGCGTGAGTGAGAAACCGCATTCCATAACCAATTTGTACGTTATGGTTCTCAAGGTTACTGTACCCTTATTTTTTGACAGAATAACAGCATATAACCATGTTCGTAAAGGTAACCTTTTTACTCGTTGACGATGACATTAAAATTGCCAAATCCGCTCTAAACAACAACGTGGTTCAATAATGCTGTGTACGGTTTTATTTGTGCACGTGCGTGTATAAAGCTATGAAACGTATGTGTTTTCGTTAATTTATCAGTACCGTACAGGTAAAGTTATCGTCATGTCGTATATGAATATAATGTTGTATTTACATTATACTTCTCATTTCCTGAAGTTTTTCATCTTTCCTATAAGAAACATTTTTAAAGTGTGGACCATAAAACTTAAGTCAGAAACTAATTTAATGCAGACAATCTTTGTAAACCTTTATGTTTATCTAATCTTAAAAACGACTGTGCCATTTAAGTTTCAGGGTTCTAATATTTCTAGATGGGGTTTATAATAATTATGTCAGCACTAGACATTTTATATGCTGAACTGTGTGGTATTTCTATGATAGTATTGTTACAATTTGGCAGTGTGTGTATGTTTAATGCCATAGAGATATATCTAATACCAATGTAATTAAATAAGGTTATACGAAAATCTTAAGCTACAAAAGAGTTAAGATAGACAGTTAAATGGGATGAAACACGTCTATATTTAATTAGGATTAAAAACTAGAAATTAAGCACTTTATTCTGTATATTTCATATTATAATTACGTCTCTTTTAAATGAAAATATTAATAAAAAACATTCCCAGTCTAAGTAATTTGCTTGTTTTGTCCTTTCTTGTATCTCACTCTTATCGTTCAGAGGCAATGAGAACACGATATCTCCTGGACCCACGATAGTCACGTGGTTAAAATGGATCAATAAGACGCACCTACCAAAGATATTTTGTAAAGTAAGCATTTGTCATTCAAACAACAATAAACAAACAAAAAATTACTGTATAGTTTCTTTGAACATTTTCATGTTTTACCTAAAAAAAATCATTGACTATCTAATTAAGCTGAATATAATACAGCAGGTATCCTTATTTTTATAGAGTATGTTGATTTTTATCCAGTGAATTGAAATCATGCTTATAAGTTAGCAAAGTGTATATATGTATAGTACTGCTAACACTGGGTCAACGATACCCTTAAAGATAGCTTTTATATGCGGAAACATCTGTTAGCTGAACTCATTTTATAAGTTGTACTATTTCCTATAGATGATTTTCCAGACGGTTCTGCTATGATTAGTGTCTGACGAAAAGCTTCAGCAGATATTTCCTTTGAAACATCTTAATCAACAAATAGTCCAGTTATCAATGCTATTTTCAAGTTTTGAACAACTCGACTTTCAAGATCTACGTATCTACATCTGCCGATGTTTCCATTTATCAACGTTATATTTTAAGATCTGTGCAAGAACTCAGCTAACAGATGTTTCCGCATATAAAAGCTATCTTCAAGTTTTGTACACCAAAAAACTTTTCAAGATACCCTTAAAGGCTGCATACAATATGTCTTCATTTCTTATGTATTTTATAGCGATTTTAAATTAGCATATTACAAGTTATAATCTATATTATGAACTGTTATACTCAATGGATATAGATTAGCTAGAAAATTGTTGATCTACTGATCTATGAATCTGCCACCTCCACATTAATTACGTACTTACATTAAAGTTTTTTTAGTTATAACATTTTGCGACACACAACATAAAAGGATGAATATAACCTTCATGTTTCCGATACAAAGGTTTCAAATATTATTTTTTACAACCAAAGAGCGACAGATGGATATAACATTTGTGTTCGCAACTACTCAGCGATTCAATACAAGGTTTTAGAAGATGACATTCTGAACATCTACATACAGACGCAAGGTGTTCAACAGTTGTGTTCGCAACTATTCAGCGATACAATACAAGGTTTTAGAAGATGACATTCTGAACATCTACATACAGACGCAAGGTGTTCAACAGTTGTGTTCGCAACTACTCAGCGATACAATACAAGGTTTTAGAAGATGACATTCTGAACATCTACATACAGACGCAAGGTGTTCAACAGTTGTGTTCGCAACTACTCAGCGATACAATACAAGGTTTTAGAAGATGACATTCTGAACATCTACTTACAGACGCAAGGTGTTCAACAGCTGTGTTCGCAGAAATTCAGATATAGCCATAAGGTGTTGAAAAGCTGTATAGAAACAGAGAGAAGACGCTAAAACTGCGTTCACGAGCATTCAAATAGATACAAAACGTTCAAATGTGGCTAGAGAGGGCAAGCTGTTTAAAAATGATAATCACAATTAATATAGAAACATGTTATCCGACAGCTGTAATCCCAACAATCCAGAAACACATACATTCTAGGCGTTTTGTATTCACAAATACCTAAAGATGAGTATAAGCTGATTAAAAGTTGTGTTAAAAAAGACAGACAGGAGCGAATGTTCTACTTATCCAAAAAGTAGGAAGCAAAATAAAATTATGTTTTTATTTCAGGACATATATTAAACATGGAACTTGGGAATTAAAGAAAAATGAATATCACAATTATGCCCTATTTAAACAAGAAAAAAAAAAGACGTTGTTAAATATATTTATACATTTGTATGTAAATAAATGCAATGTTAAACACTATTAGAGACTTGGACTTTCTTCTACAGTGAAAACAAAATTCTTTTGAAACTTTATATTATGTAAACGTAAACTTACAGACGTAAGTTTGAAAGTCATTAGAATAGTGTGTATAATGTGAAAGTAACTAGAATATTGTATAAAACTACTTCGATTTGAAGTACTATAAAGATATACGACTACTTAGCTGTTGACCTTACAAGCTATTAACGTGGGGTAAATTAGCATTAAGACATTAGATATTAACAGATTAACTTTAATTTTAATTTGGTTTGGTCATCTTTATGAAGCAAAGGAAACTTCGAAGCTCAACTAGAGGGAAAGATCTGGGCGTGACTTTGTGAGACAGGTAGTTGAATTTTTCTACGTTTAGTTCAACAGAATGTATAGTACTAGCGTTAATAAACTTGTAGATAAAGGCATAGTAAGTTCAGTGGATAGTTTTTAAATATATAAAAAAGTGTAAAAATATCGATATACTAATTAACTTAATTAAGTAAATAATTCGCATCAAAAGGAATGAGTGAAACCTGTTAATAAACTTAAATATATAAACATAATACATATAACTAGTGATATAATTTATATTTTGAATGTTGAAAACTTAGAATTATCTATATCAGTTGTATACTAGTGCACGTATCAACTAATAGCGTTAAAACATGTCAGATCCTTCAGTGAAATTTGTGTATAAATATCATATGAATATGCTTACATTTACAAACAACAATATGAATAAAACTTTATGCGATAATATTTCAAATTGTCACCCTCTACACAGGTGTATCATCTATAAAAAGTTTCGGTTTAATTTACATCCTCTGCTTGGCTACCTGCACATTTGTATTATAGCATTACAGTGTAATCTGACCAGGCGCCTGAGGGTAACGTTTTCTGCATTACCAAAACAAAAATTGACATTTTCTTGCACTTGAAAAAATTAATCATTCATTCTCCATACCAAATCTTTTGAATATTAAAACATTTCAAAATATCACACGTCATATTGGTTATCACGAGTGAGTGATGAGTGTTTAGCAAAATAACTATTTTGTTGGACCAGACCTCATAACTCATAAGATAAGGAGAGTATAAGGAAGTTATTTCGGCTATGATGACGAATTCCGTAACTATATTTATATATATATATGATACATATATTTCAAAAGATCCAAAAACTAGAGTGCTTTATAATAGTTGACTTTTATTCTTCACGAGTAAAGTGTGTGTGTGTGTATATATGTATAGATATAATGATATTGGAATTAAAAAAGTAAATATGCTTTTTTTTTTTTCTATGGTTGAATATTTATAACGATGTGATCTACAACTTAATTATGCTAATACAATTTATTACTAATGTTAAACGGTAACTTCTTATGATAAATTTCGCTTGTTACTCCTAGTAGTTTAACTTTAATAATATATTTCACTGTCCTTCCTCCTATGTTTCATTAAGTACAAATAAATCTTCCAACAACACTCAGTGAATAATGGTTTAAATGTAGGCTGAAACACCTGTATCTGTTTTTAATTCAATGTGAAAGTTTCCGTCAAGCCTATGAAGTATGCTAATCACAGAGAGTACGTTTAAATGCTCCCACTTCATACTTAGTTTGTTCCTTGACTTTATTTGTCTCTCCTCTATAAGTAACTCTCTTATTTGAACTTTCAAGTTAGATTGGTCAACGACTTAATAAAAGATTTACCGATACTGTTATATCACGAACTTTCAATTCGACATACTTGGGGAGCATTTCGTTTAAACACACATGAACAGACAGTCTCAAAACATTTTTCACTATATGAGACTACAAAGGTATTGTATAAGTATAATTATAAAGGCCTTTCTGGTAACATTCCTTATATCTATAGCTGAGCTGAGGATATATCTCAAAACTACAGAACTTAGCTGATGAAATAAGTTTCGTGTTTCGAACTATAACACCGATACAGGTGAACAAAACCAGGGTGCTAACTCTTTCTATATCAAAGTTAGATAATATCATTTCAACTTCCGCTATTGAAAGAGTACAAAGGCCTGTGTGTATATAAATAAGATCTACAAATGATATTTCAACGGACCTGCTTTATTATTTATTACATTATTTATAAGCAAAGTTATTTACTTTTATTGTGGCCAGCTGACTCACAAACAAATAATAAACACCAGATTATCAAATAGTACTTTCATACGTTTTGTCCATTAGGCAAAATAAAAATTACATTTAAAATTTTGTTTTTGATTAAGACACCGTACAACTTAGGGTATGCCCTCTCTAAAAGTACTTTTTCTGTCCTCAGGTCTTCTGCAATACAATAACTTATTTATAAAAATGAGCATTTGCTCTTAGTGTTCTGTACATAAAAGATCAATAACAGTTTTATTTAATGCTAAAGAAATTCAAACACACACAACAAAAAAGTCCCAGCGCTCTTTAAAAAAATAATATCACTGAGCTGAAAGGCGGTCAACATATTATACATATAAATGGAGGGCTATAACGAAAATTTCAATAAAAGAAACCGAAACGCGACACTGCAAACTTTTCTTCGTGATTAAAAACTCATTTACATGATAACTCAGTCAGTCTGTTATTACAAATTTTTAATGTATTCATCATTGTCATCAATGTATGTGTTGCATGAGAAGTCGCATGTAACACATTAGTATCTTATTAGAGGGTTTGGTATGTCTCACCCTACACATTAATGTTACAGAGTATACCATTTCTATATTTATCACAGAACAAGTCGACTACACTTTAAGAAAGTTTGTTTGTTTGTTTTTAATTATGCACAAAGCTACACAACAGGTATCGAAACCCTATTTTCTAGCGTTGTAAGTCCGCAGACATACCGCTGTGCCACTGGGGGGGGGGCTTTAAGAAAGAGAGAAGGTCGAAAATGAAACGTGCTGCTGAACTGCCTTCCATTTCATCAAGGGTTCTAGCTTTCATTTTTATTAAGTTTGTACTTATAGTTTCTAAACTAGTTTGTGTATCACAATCCAAGTTTGGATAATGACTTAAATAAATTCAGTTTCATTATGTTCACTTGAAGTATTACTTAGCTAACCTTGGATTCAAATTTATTTCTAAATCCCGATATATCATTTTAGGATAGTTTTATACTTTCAAACACAAAATAATGTTCTACAATATTCAACGTTTTAATAACACAATACAACACACCGTATAATATATTATACTTTCAAAAGGCAGTACGATATTGCAGAACATTTCAAACTTTCAAAACATGACATATCGTTGTAGGGTGTATTATACTTTTTACATGAAAGCATGTTGTTCCATTTATTTTTTTAAATATAAAACATTCATTCTTAGATACTTCATACTTTTAAAATGAATGTAATGTTGTATTGGTTATTTTATAGTTCGTAAACCTAACATAAGATTGTTAGATGTTCCAAATGTTTAAAATACAACACACTTTTCTCGGGGCCCGGCATGACCAGGTGGTTAGGGCGCTTGACTTGCAGCCTGAGGATCGCTTGTTCGAATTCCCGTCCCACCAAAGAGACTGGCCTTTTCAGCCGTGTGGGCGGTATAATGTTACGGTCAATCTCACTTTCATTTGTAAAAGAGTAGCCCAAGAGTTGGCGGTGGGTGGTGATGGCTAGCTGCCTTCCCTCTAGTCTTACACTGCTAGATTAGGGACAGCTAGCGCAGATAGCCCTCGTGTAGCTTTACGCGAAATTCAAAACAAACAAACACTTCTCTTCGCATAACTTCGACTTTAAAACGTAACGCAAAATAGTGAGACATGTTTTACTTTCGAAAATCGAACCTGGGCTCTTTACGTTGTCTAATTATTGACAGATTTTTAGAAGTTATTAATGAAAGAAACATACTACTAAACGCGATCCTCTCCTGTTGTTACTTCAGTAAATAATATTATAATACGATCTTCTCCTGTTGTTACTTCAGTAAATAATATTATAACACGATCTTCTCCTGTTGTTACTTCAGTAAATAATATAATATGACTACCATTATAAGATTTACTTCATCAACAGAACCAAAAGCTCTATATAGTTCTTATAATGTTAAAAAACTGACAGACATGGCTTAGCTTCCGACCCTTAACAGATGGTTATAACATTACTTTGTTATTTCGATTTTTGCCTTGATAAAACAGGATTGTTTGGGATAAAGTAAGTGTGTTTGTATTCGCCTATCCTTCTTTATAACTAGCCTCATCCAGCCTGATAACTTTTAGGTGTAAATTTACATGCGATATCTAAACGGCTTAATTTTTTGGTATTTCATATTTGAGAATTGTCCTATTGGATGTGTTTGTTTCTTGTTTTATATTATATTGTTAGAGTATCACCTTTGTTCAAATATGATTGTTGTTGTCCTTTCATATAACAATTATTAGTGTTTCAAATACGGCTGTTTTTGTCCTTTCCTATAACAATTACTAGTGTTTCAAATACGGCTGCTGTTGTTCTTTCCTATAACAATTACTAGTGTTTCAAATACGGCTGCTGTTGTCCTTTCATATAACAATTACTAGTGTTTCAAATACGGCTGTTGTTGTCCTTTCCTATAACAATTACTAGTGTTTCAAATACGGCTGTTGTTGTCCTTTCCTATAACAATTACTAGTGTTTCAAATACGGCTGTTGTTGTCCTTTCATATAATAATTACTAGTGTTTCACATACGATTGTTGTTCTTGCACAAACAAATATTAGTGTCATTTCACACACGATAACTAATATTTCGTCTCCCCCTGGGTCAGTGATAAGTTTACGGGCTTACAATGCTAAATCCATGGTTCGATTGCCTGCGGTGGATAGCCCATTGTGTAGCGATAGGTCTGAGGCTTATAACGCTAAAATCGAGTTTCGATACCCACGGAAGACACAGCACAGATTGGTATAGGTTTGTGCTCAATAACAAAAAAACAACAACAACTAATATTTCATATATAATTAGTAGTATTGTTAGATATACAGCAAACCTATACTAATTATAATCAAGCTTTCAAAGAATATATCAGAGACGAATACATTATTCATGAAATATAACTTTTAAAACTGAGGCGAGAAATGTAATGCTTTTGATATAAATCTCAGAATACACACACAAAAGATATAAAATAATTTATTATGTTAGCATTATTTTCTAATAACGATAATAATGAAGATAAAACGAACGGAAAAAGCTGTTGTCAGTTATTAAAATAAGCTAGAGACAGTACCTCTAAAGACGTATTAGAAATATACTACAATTTACCATCTTTAGTTAACAAGAATCTTCATGCTATTTATTAATTCAACGATATACTGATATCATTTGGTTATCCAAATTAAAAACAAATGTGGAGAAAGCGTCTAAAGATAATGAATAGGTAAATAATTTACTTTAGTATAGAAACTTGGCTGTATTTGTTACACTTGTTACAGAAGTATATAACAGTCGTATGAAACTACGAGAACTCATGCATATACATGGATATGAAACTATTGACACATGGACATATAAACTACTGAACTCTATAAATGTACTTTAAATAGTGAACTATAAGCATATACATGCTAGGGCAGCAAACTGAACTTTCATCGATTATAGTGAACGATTATCACAGGTTAGGCTTTATTAACATCTGCCTCTAACTGTTGTGTACGTTTGATGGAATACTCACCATTTCTCTCGTGAAATAGCCCCAAGTATTGTAAGATTTAGTCATCCCGTTTATTGGATGATGTATTACTATGATGAAGAGGCACGGCCATTCTCTCGTAGGAGTATAACAGTTTCCTTAACTACCATCCTTGGACCAATTGAAATGCAATGATACCACTTTCAACCTTTACAAGTTTGGGACAACATATTTATATCCAAATCATTCTCTAGGTTTCTTGGAAACCCAGAACCAGTCATCACAAGCAGGTAATGAGTAGCTGGATCCATTGTCCATCATGACTGGTTTTTGGTTTCCAAGAAACCCAGATCCGGCCATCACAAGCAGATAATGAGTAGCTGGATCCATTGTCCATCATGACTGGTTTTTGGTTTCCAAGAAACCCAAAACCAGTCATCACAAGCAGGTAATGAGTAGCTGGATCCATTGTCCATCATGACTGGTTTTTGGTTTCCAAGAAACCCAGAACCAGTCATCACAAGCAGGTAATGAGTAGCTGGATCCATTGTCCATCATGTCTGGTTTTTGGTTTCCAAAAAACCCAGATCCTGCCATCACAAGCAGATAATGAGTAGCTGGATCCATTGTCCATCATGACTAGTTTTTTGGTTTAAAGAAACAACAACCCCAGATCCGGCCATCAGAAGCAAGTACTAAGTAGCGGGATCCATTGTTCCTCATGACCGGTTTTCATTGTTCGTCACCTCAGTATTAATGATCAATACACCCTGAGAGCTAATGATATACATTAAAGGCTGTGGTGAAGATTTTGAGTTCGTTTATAAAAATCAACCGATTTCTCAAGTTGTGGTTTTGTTAGATGCACTGATTCACAACCCTGTACTCTCTGCAAGTTTTTGGGCGTCAAGTTGAATTACAGATAAATAGTTTCGTTTCTCATACTTTGTCAATATTTATCAAAATTATTATACATAAGAAAATGTTACATTATCTCATTAATTTTTTGTTTCTATAATTTGTTAGAAATGCAGGTCTACATCCTAACATAACTAAATGATTCAATTCACTTATATGTAAAATTTTCCCCAAAGAAACTTGTTTTTATTGCTCTGAATTGTTAACGAAAAATTACTTTCAAGTGTTTTTTAAGTTTAAGTTCGTTCTGGTGATTAGATGTTCATACAGGTTTTAAATGTTAAATGAAAGCTTATGCAAGTTATTCAACATTAATACATATGACATCACGTAAACTACCAACATTGCCTTTTTGAGTTACAATATTTAGGATGTAATTGTTTAACAATATAAACAGTAAACATATATTAGCATCTATAACTGATAATTTGAATAAAGTTCTGACATACATGTCTTTTTTACACATAACATTAAATTCACGCCGTCAAGAAAGCCTGTATATTACTATCTCACTGTTAGTTGACTCCTTAAAGAATCTTTCAATAGATAATCGGTCGAGAGATATTTAAAAATAAAAAACGCAGATAATCATTATTTTCTATTAACTGTGCCCTTAAATTTAAATAAATATACTGTGATTTTAAACAAGTGAAAAAAGCAGTTTAATTATTCTGTTCTTTATTTAGTACTCTGCAGTGAACTGAATTTGACAAATATAAATCTTTATAAGCAACCTATAAATATGACGAAACTTTAATTATGAATAGTTAAGTTATTCAAAGAAAAGTGTATATATATTTTTTTTCATACATTACGTTAGCATATGAAAGGGAAGAAATTTACTATTTGTTTTCATTTTATAATATATAAAAGAACATTGAGAAAACACACTGAACAGTCTGATTTAATAAACATTCAAATGTCAATCCAAAAACCTAAGATTCTTATCACTTGAGATATAATCATAGAACACGTAACAACAGGGTGTCAAGAAATAGATTTGGAAATGAAATATATAAAAGGATTGAAAAAATTGGAATTTCTAGAAACGTCCTTAACCTGGTAACATATCGGCACCAATTTTTAGCTATAAGAACTATTTGAAACAGTAAGTGTCGTCATTTTATATCTTTTAGGCTTAAATAGTCTTGAAACTATTAAAATATAATTGGTATTTCATTTAACATAAGTAATAAAAAATCGTGCATTGTAATAAAATGTTGAAACACTGAATTGAGGAAAATCATCTAGAGATTAGCAAGTAAAATCTTCTAAAGTGATTGTGAGTGGCATTGTAATGCTTTAATTTAATCCTTTCCTTTCTAGGGATCCCTTCAGATAAGTTTAAAATCATGACATTAGCAAGTAAGAGCTACTACACAAGAACCTGTCCGGTTGTGAGGGAAATAAAGTTGATTTCAATTAATCACCAATTCTAGAATAAAAAACAAGAAAGGTTGTTCAGGACGTTCTGTTAGTGTGTGTGTTTTTTATAGGAAAGCCAACATCGGGCTATCTGCTCTGGCCACCGAGAGGAATCGAACCCCTGATTTTAGCCTTGTAAATCCGTAGACTGACCACTATCTCAGCGGGGGACGTTTTGTTAGCAACAACATGATGTTGGAAACCCACTAAAGGCAACAACATGATGTTGGAACTTACCGCAGGCAACAGCTGAATCAAGTTTAAGCAACTGCAATGAAAAAGAAATATTTTTCTTACGCTTCTCGATTGTTGAACTTGGTACGGCTCTACTTAAAATTTCGTAGAATAACAATATTCTTCTTTTGTAATTTGTTTATTCTAATATGGCATGTTTCATCTATTAATTTCACTAACTTTCATTTAGAGCTCTTATATCCACAAAATTGAACTACTGTTTCAACATATATTTTATCCACTTGTGTGTTCTGTGTGATATTGTTTTATGTAGAAAATACCTACGTTACCTCAGAGTCCCTTTAGACTACTTGTCGCCATTTATGAGGTATGGTTCTATCAATAAAGTATAATTATTATTTCAAAACTTCCTTTATTTCTTTGCATATCCGGAACATGTGTAGTTCACAAACTCAACTAAAATTTGTTTTCCAATTCTTATTATAAACGATGACCTAAATTTTAAGTTTTTAATTTTAAATACATTCACGACCTACAAAATTAAAATAATTAATGACAGGTAAGATTTTAATAAAAACATCCTCATCATATATATCTTAGGAAATTTTTTATGTTCATGTACTGTAAGTCTACTAATTCAGGCATAATTCTGTTGTGGTATTAAATTCTAAATATTATTTCATACATGATATAATGAAATAATTCTCGTTTTTATAGTGTTTCTACAGTATTTTTTTAGGAAGGTCTTCCTCATATGTAACTCTTCTCGTATGTGTATGATAGAGTACACAAGAGCCCTATGTTACAACGTCGAGTACATAAGAGCTTTCTTTATGTTGCAATGTCGAGTCACAAGGGCCTCATGCTACAATGTCTTTGTAGGTTTGACATCACTCCTTTCAAACAGAAAAATTTGAAATTGAGTGTTAGGACTTAAACGGAAGCACACAAAGCTTATACACAGAGATACAAGAGTAATATAACATATTATATACGTTCTAATTCTATTTAAATTATCGCAGAACACAGTGTAGGAGAAACACGGCCTTTAAATAAAAAATAAACATTTACTTGTTATATACCTGAGTTTTCAGGTTCTTTAGTCATGAGCTAACTACCATTAATCCGCTACGTTCAATAAAGTGTTACAAACCATTCACCTTGAGCTACGAAATGCTAAAGTTTGGACACCATGTTTTATGCATCTACATTATATACCAAATATAGCTATTCTTTATACACCATGTACTGTACAAAGTGCGTATACTGTGTACTCAGCAGAAGTACTACTCACACATCACGTAATTCACATAGTTACAGTTGACACACTTTTTCATATTCACAGCTACCATTCATATATTATATACTTTAAAGAACTAACTCCTACATCACGTAATAAAAGAGACGCTATTCGTTCAAAATTTAATGTTTACTGCTACTACATCATGTACCAAACATACTGTGATATAGGTCCGGCTTATATCTCTCTGGTTAACTTGTGTTTATGGTTATTGATAGTATAACCTAATAACACACGTTGAGCAAAGTTCGTACACTACCTAATGTTCATAGCTACTGTTCATAAATAATATATTGTAGAGAAATATCCCTCATGCACCATGTGATGTGTAGTGCTGTGGTTTATACACTTTCGAATTTTCACAGCTACTGTTCAAGACAGTCTATTGCTCCGATTTCACTAATGAGCCAGCGGTAAGTTTACAGACTTACAACACTAAATTTCTAAGTTCATTTACCCTCGATGGACGAAGTGCAGATTGAACATTGTGTTACTTTGCTCTGAAATACAGCCAAAAACCAAAAGCACTGTATAGAACTATCATTCACACAAACACACACAACATATATATATATATACTATATAATGCTAATGTTCATATACCACGTATCGTACACAAATAACTTTATTTTTGATTTTATGGTTAATGTTTTCATAAAGCGATAGATGGTTTGTATGAAATTAAACAAATGACAGTAGTCGTCGCCTAAGCCTGAAATACTCTTGGAGCTAACGTTTATAAACTGTACACTTTTAGGAGTAAAAAAATAAAAACAAAAGTTTACTCCAACACACACACACATATATATATATATTAAAATCTTTTACATTTTCCCCAGATCTCATCTCAGCATAATGTCAACATTTTAAATAACGTGGACGAATGCAGGTTGGAAATCAATATCTTAGACGTACACATAGATGGCTATAATTTACTGAACAACGCAACACAGGTGATATTGATTAGGTTAGGAAGCGATAGCCCAGCTACATATTAAACAAGGAAAGCCTGTGCCATTGCTTGCTGCGTTCATTCTCCCTGCCATCACGTTCCAAAACCATCCCCTGTTCTTTTAACTAGTGCTACAATGTCATAAAAAAGGTTTGGGAAACGAATGTGAACACTGGTGCTAAACCATGAAATCAAACTCAGTGTGAAACGCTACTGTTTATAAAAAAAGTGTTAAGTATCTTGAGCGTTGATGAAACAAGCACTGCAGCGCCACCACCTCCGATGAAGAGCTTGCTACGTACTATAAAAGGCTGAATAGTTTTTACATGACAATGGCAACATCTACCTTACTTTCGTACACTCGAGGGTCACCTTTGTCGTCTATCTCACCATCAGTATTTCCTTTGCCGTTAGAGGGGGCTAAGGCTCATTAGTAACAGGGAAGCCCATCTTATTCCATGTTCAAACACAACCCATTCGTCACTGACTGCTTCTGTCCATGGCGTCGGTCTGACTAAAGACGTCCATGTTGGCATACTACTTGGCGTCTGGAACGCTGGGCATTTTGAACAACCTAATCTTCGTTCACCACTAATAAATAGAAAAAATGTTAATTGGAAATCATTTCAGGAAGATTTAAAATAAGCGTTAGATAAAGAAACTTCTGTAAAACTTGGAGAAGTATGTCGTTAAGGAATAAAAAGGAGGTTGTTTTGCAATCCTGTCTTGCAGTGTTATATATGTCCTGAAAATATGTAGTATGCCATACATTTTTGGAATTATTCGCATGTAATATGTGGTCTCATCCCTATGTCATAGATCATAAAACCTTCTCCATGAAACTTGTGTCTATATCAAACACAAAAAATATAATTAATATTAGCTTCCTGAACTTGGGGTGAAAAAATATTATCGTTTGTTGTCACGGCTACTAATAACTATGTAGACATAACAGCAAAACATTTTAAGATTTTTTTCAGTGTCATTTATTTTCTGATAATCGCTTTTTGCAAAATATATTTTAATTTAATGTTATTCCTATATATTTTTTATATATTTTACCGTGTTTTTTTTTACTTACACTAATGAAAGTTATCTATGTTGTTTAGAATTGAATTTTATTCAATACAAAAGCGATGCTGCTAAACATGAAGTCGTGATAAAGGATCAAAAGTTTCCAAATCGTATTCTAGATCTCATTAATGTTTTAATTGTACAAATGAAATTATGTGAATGATAACAATGTGCTAATAACACTACCTGCCCCATTTTAACATACTAACACACGCTTTTATATTTATCTTGTATCTTCTCTTATGCCATGTTTTGAGTGCTAATTTGTCTAGACCACGGGTTAGATAGAAATTGCACTGTTATCGCTTGTCATCTGCCAGGGTTAATTCCTAGTGTTATAACTGCTATGCGTTTTTTGAAGCAGCGGAAGAATACTTTTTGTGAAAGCCTCCCCCTTCCGGTGTTTACCGGTAAGCTTGAGAACTTATAACCCTAAAATTTGAAGTTCGATCCCCAAAATGAACACAGTACAGATAACCTATTGTGTAGCATTGCGCTTAACAACAATCAAACAAATAAAATCTTTTTGTCAAACGAAAATTTTAATGAAAGATCGGAAATGACAAACGAGTAAAAGTGTTTAAAAAAGCTGAAAATAAAAACAAATTATAATGGACGAAACGTTTTAAAGCAGTGACAGCTGAAAATTACCGTTCAACCGCTTACTTAAGTATGAACTTTTGGTAAGATGGATAATATTAAACAAAATAAACAGAACTTTCGAGATTGGTAATAATGAGTAATTTGAATAAGTGTATACATATTCATTTTGTGTTATCTATATAATAGATTATCCTTTAAACGAAAATTAAACCTGTTTACGTTAAAGTGCTCACTTCAGGTGAATAGAAAATACGGCATGCATTTAACAGAATAAAATAGATTTTCACTATAAAAAACACACATACACAGTAATAAATAGTGGTCAACCACACGTTTCAACTTTATCTATTGTTTCTTGAACAGAGGAAACACTCTTATATTTTGTGATACAAATACAGATACGAACATAAACTAATTTAAATCATAGCTTAAATTAAATTTGTGATTTTAAAATGTAAGCTAAAACAAACTTAATTATTCACAGTTGCTATTCTCTCTCCTCTTGTTCAGACTTAAGGTACTCGAACACTTTCGTACGAACTTAGATATAAACAACTAAATTGCCCAAACTAACTTAAATTGAGAAGCTACATTTGTATATATATATAATCCAAAGTCTTCAAAGGATCTTATTTTTCATAACTGTTTCTTGTACCGAAGCGGTTACGTAGCAAAACAAGTGATCCCATAACAACCCAGAATAAAGACAAATTTTGCAATATACTTTAGAAAAACGAAACTTGTGCAGAATGTTATGGATTAATAAATATGCAGTATATTAATTTTATATTTCAATCTATGCCATTGAAACATCGTGATAAATGAAGCTAAAATACCATTTATAAAGAAATTCTACACCTTGCTATTTCCCACACCTTATCTGTGTAGCGTTTTCTGTTATCGAACTGAGCTGTTAGAACGTAAAACTATGGTTCTCAGATGGTCATAGAATAAACTTTATTAACCTATATGGGTTAATAAGCATATTTTGGTGCATATATAATTGTTTTAAAAATAATTATATCTCATACTTTTATTTTTATATTGCGTTAATATTTTTACGACAAAAAACATAAAACAGTTGCTTTTACAACATAAACCAGTTGATTTTACCACGTAAAACACGTTGATTTTTACAACATAAAACAGTTGATTTTACAACATAAAACACGTTGATTTTACAACATAAAACAGTTGATTTAACAACATAAAACACGTTGATGTTACAACATAAAACAGTTGATTTTACAATATACAACACGTTGATTTTACAACACAAAACACTTGCTTTTACAACATAAAACACGTTGATTTTACGACATAAAACAGTTGATTTTACAATATACACCACTTTGATTTTACAACATAAAACAGTTGATTTGACGACATAAAACAGATGATTTTACAATATACACCACGTTGATTTTACAACATAAAACAGTTGCTTTTACAACATAAAACACGTTGATTTTACGACATAAAACAGTTGATTTTACAACACAAAACACGTTTATTTTACAACATAAAACGATTGCTTTTACAACATTAAACACTCTACTTCATTAGAATGGACTTTAATCATTGATGCGTTATTCTGAAACAACTAATAATGTGTAAAATGCTCGGACAAATGAAAAACTGTTTGCTCAAATATTTTGTCCCAATTTGTTTTTCGGAAACTCAGTGTGTTAACCCTATTTTTTAGGTCTCAAGATTTTTATTTTTGCATTCTGAAATTTACAACAGTTTAACTCCAATAACTGAGTTGGCGTGGAAATATCAATGCTGCACCATAGAAACATTGAGATTTTCAACTAACTGTTTTGTCTTTAGTTTGTTTTGTTTTTGTGTATGTAATAAATCCAGTAACTCTTGGGCATTTAAATTGATAGGCGCAAGTTGAGTGGTCTTGTATTATTAAATCATGCAATTTTGTAGAGGAACAAAAAATACATTATGTCAGTAGTCTTCCGTAAGTGGGAAAGGTTTTATCACTATGATTATGAAAGATTAGCACGTGACTGTGTTACATGTGTTAAATTAATATAATGTTAAAAGGTGATAAAAATATTTAAACATTGGGTTTTCATTACATTAATTGACACGAATGATATCCTTTAAAAGGCATATGAACTGTAATAACCTTTATATATATGTTTGTGTACGAAATACGCAGGTTATCGATTTGAAACAAAACTGAACAAAATAAGCGAATTTAATGAAGTTGCATGGAATAATTCGACCTTAAGCTGAATGAAGTTGCATGTAATAATTCTAGAATTATTCCATGCAACTTCATTCAGCTTAAGGGGCCTTAGGCTGAATCTTGTTTATTTTGTTTTGCTAGTTTGTTTTAGAGCAAATTTGTATTATGGACTATCTGTGGTGTGTTTGCCATGTGGATTCTCAGTGTTATAACCCCTTAAGCTTACCGCTGTGTTACCAGGAGGTTCATATCTTGTTCCGACGATAGTATCGTAGCAAAGCTTTAAACTGGAGGGGCGCTCAGTAGAGAGCATGACTCCGCCACGCAACGTTGATCATATTCGGCCCTCAAAAAATACGAAAATGTGTCCGTACATTCGTTGTTATAACGGATGTGGACCATTTTTGGTAGGACAATGAGGAATAATATTTTACATATGTCCACCAAGTTTCATCAAAATCCGATCATTCTTTTTGTCTAAGTTATTGAGCACAAATAGTGTGAAAAATCGGTCCACATGTTGACAGCAGGGATTTGTTTGGATTTTCCTGACCTTGACCCTACAAAAACTAATAACTTCTAAATTTGATCATAATCCAAATGCATACCAACTTTCGTCCAAATCCATTCAGCCGTTTTTGAGAAATCTTGCTGACAAACACACACAGGGGTGAAAACATAACCTCCGCCACCTTGTTAGCTGCTCATTGAAAGGACGTAAGAATATAAGGTAAAACCTGGGGATTAACGCAAACAGCTTGCATGCTATTTTCAGTTTCAGCACATGATGAGTCAACATACGAGGCTATGTATTTAGATGACATTTTAAAGGTATTTTGTAATATATTTATATGTGCATAAAGTCATAAAAATAAATTATAAATCCACATACCCTTGAAATCAACACTTACTACCGATGCGTTTATTAATATTTGTAAACGTGAAAAACGTGGCGCATACAAACACTCATGCTAGATTTTTTACTTCTTACAAACAGAATCAGTGAAACAATACTTTTAAGTATGATCTATTATATTCAGGTACAATCAAAACACTTAGTACGTTTTGTACACGAAATGTTTACAAATCGTGTTAGCATAGCGTGCTTCCTTATAGAAACAGAAGAAAAGTGAAACTGACGAAATCCTGCTAAAGGTTCTGTAGAAAGTAGCATGGATTCTGATATGACACCAAATTCGAACAAAAAAAATCAAAACATTTGAATACCACACAATAAAATTTAAAAAGTGCATTCCTTTCTTACTCTCTTATGAGGACTATTTCATTTGGTTCCAAAAACATCAGTTGTTAATTACTGACAACTGATTTCAAATATAAAGGTTAAAGAAGAAGAAGTTTTATAATGAATACCTCAATGACAGCAGCATACAACATTTGCTTTATCTTTATTGTTTAAGCAGCTTCAGTCCCTCAACATCGAACAAATGGATCTACACAAGTTCAAGTCCTTGAATAACGTCTGGAAATACACGGTAAACTTTGCAAGTTCTAAACTGTTGCTTCACATTCAAGATTTTACTTGCTAATTCAGTATTCTGATATTCGTGAATGTATGTGTTACAATTAATTTTTTATAACATTACGTTTCAAAGAAATTTCTTGGATAGGTTACTAAATCAAAATACCCATTATACAAGAATTATAATATGTTTATTGCCATACATAAAATATTATTACAATTAATTGGCATAAATTAATAAAACTTTTGTTGATAATGTTTTTGTCAATTTCAAATGAGAAAAGGAAAAGATCTAAATTGGTTTTATCGAACTTAATTTTTCTAGATTAGGAAACAAGAGGTGTTTAGAGACACTTTCTTCTTGTCAGAGGTTAAGAGCTTAAGTGTGTGGAATGTTTGGTAATTTCGAGCAAAGCAGCACAATGACTATTTGAACTGGTGGTCCCTAATTTTAAACTGATAGACTAGATCACACGCCATTCTTGGACTACTCTGATCCAATAATAAGATTTGATTGTCACTCTTATAACGCACCCATGGCCCTAAAGTGTAAAGTGCATTTATGAGGGATAAGTGGCTGCGTGCCATGGACCCTCGGTTTCACAGTTCGTTACGCTAATCACTAAGCTAAATCCGACCAAGAGTTGAAGAGCCATTGAGAAAGCAACACGATACCGGTAAAGTAGCAGATTTAGTTAATATTAAAGGTCTTTCAAATGACGTTTTCTCTCTACAATTTTCATTACTATATAACATCAGTTCGGAGAACGGGCTGTTGATTAGCTGCACAACACTCTTTGGAACACTTGGCTGTTTAGTTAATTGTAGTTTATTCGTAAGTTCTGGTAAAAAACAAAAACAAAATAGACTTCTTTCTTACTTCAAGTTATTTCTCTGAGTTAGACCGGTTTCACGTAATATAGAAACTCATCAGTAACCCTGGGCTAAAATGAGGCAAAGTACGTTGACCAAGCCATCAGAAGGTTTTAACCTCCATTAATGTTCCTACTAACAGTTAGTTTACCATACAAAACCTTAACTTAATAACGTTTATCGTTTTATTTTCAAAACCTCTCCAACATATAAAAATGTATCTCTACAGTAATGAATCAACCCAGATGCAACGTCCCCAAAACAAAAACTAATCTGATTGCATTTTATTATGGATATTCATTTATTTTTCACCACAAAATATTCCAGATGCAACGTCCCCAAAACAAAAACTAATCTGACTGCATTTTATTATGGATATTCATTTATTTTTCACCACAAAATATTCCAGATGCAACGTCTCCAAAACAAAAACTAATCTGACTGCATTTTATTATGGATATTCATTTATTTTTCACCACAAAATATTCCATTCCCTGATTGTTCAGTGATAAACTTAAGATGGCTATTATAACGCTAGAATGCGGTGTACACAGCGTCGATAGCTTTGCGCTAAAACAAACATAAAACACTAAATATTAACTGTATTTAACCGTCAAACTTGAATTCAAGTAAGAGTAAAGAAGAACCATTCTAGTAAACAAACAAATAAAAACATAACTGTGTAATTATTATCACTTCACCTAGGACTAATATATTTCTGGCGTTCAAGCTTATGCAAACATAATTTTCTTAGCGTGTGCAGTGAGAATAATATGAATCGTAGATCTCGCCGACCGACAGTCGACAGTGTGACGCCATCTACATCAGTGGAAGAAACCAGATCCAAGGTTCGGTAAGAACAGCTCTCACGAACAAGGTTAATATCTCTAGTTTGCTAAACAGGAATGTTTTGTGAAAAACTAGCGTTAAACAAAGTGTCGATTTTTGTCAAATAAATAATCTAGGAAACTTTAGTTTAAAAAAAAACACACACCATAAAATGCATTAAAATATAAAATAATGATGCTTGTTCGAAATAAAAACAAAGAACTATCTAAACGACTAACTTACAAAAACACGTAAACAACTTCTGTTACTTCATCTCTTAATAATATCAATCTCTATATAATATCAGGCGTAATGGTTAAAACAACGTGTGTTACTTCATCTTTTTTTTAACTATTACACCTGATATTATCAACTCTGTTACTTCATCTTTTAATATAGATATTGATATTTTTTAACTATTACACCTGATATTATGAACGTCTGTTACTTTATTTTTTAATAATATCAATCTCTATATAATATCAGGTGTAATAGTTAAACTCTTCCTTTTATAGTAGGTGGGCATGTATCACACTGAGATCGAAAGTATATTTAAAACAGCTTTCAAACATGGAGGTAATAATGGAGTTGAAGATATATAATTTATATGTGTAGAAAATTCTTATTTTCAGCAATTTTAATATAAATTATGGAAAGCATATAAAGGTTTTCATCTTTTGCTAGGTATGAACAGCTATAAACAGTTATAAACAGCTAGATTTTGAGATGAACCGAGAATTAATACTATTTACTTGTCACCCCGTTTCGTTTTCCACTTTATCAAAAGCAGGACACGTTTATTAAAATCAGATTCAGGGAACGTGGCACATAAATCATAACATGAGATGTTAAAAACTACTCATAATTCTCGAGTTCAAACCTTTAATATCTACATTTTGTCAAATTAAGTTTTGATAATTGATCATCAAAATATGTTGTTAGCATGACAAGTAAAAAAAACAACTAATTTTTCAGGTTTGTTGATTAACCGTCTCCCATTTCCTTGTCACGTTAAACAGTATATATATATATATACAAAAGATTCCTTTAAAAACAACAAGGCATTAGATTAAGCAGTAGTGAATCAAAAAACAGCAGCGATTTAAAACCAGTAATTTTATTGAAAAGGTTAAGAAATCAGGGGAGCACCAGACAGACTGCAATACTTCAGTCAAGGATATTGTAGAAAAACAATAATGCCTTAGGAAACAGAAGAGCATCAGACAAATAGTTCTACTCCAGCTAAACTACAATACTTACATCAAAGAGCAGTAATGCTACAAAAGAAACAACAACAGTGCTTCAGAAAGCAGTCGATCTTTAAAACCTGTAGTGCCTCAGACATACATACAATAGCAATTAATAAAATAACAAAACATGAGGCAAACAGCACAGTTTAAAAAACAGCAGTGCTTTAAGAAAACAGTTGAAAATCTGACAGACACAGTACACAGCCAAACGAAGTGTTTCAGAAAAAAAAACATCTAATAAACGTAAATGCGTGAGTTGAGTTGCAGAAATGTATAAAACAAACAGAATAAATCCAGAACCTTATAGAGGAAGTGTGAGACTCCACACATACAATAGAGCTTAAGCGACACTTCTTGATTTCAATAATGTTGATGTAATTTAATTAGTGTAAATACAAAATACATTTTCATTACTTTTTATGCTAAGTGCAAATATTGTGGCCGTTTCAATCTTATATATTCACTATAAATATCGCAGCTGGCTTATTTAAAAAAGCAACAAATATCGCCACAAGTTATAGTTATCTACAAAGATAAAATGAAAAATAATAACTGCAGCTGTGTAGAGTTTGATCTGCTAGATCACAAGCCTAAACTGTTTATTGTGTTCGAGGAATTAAGATCTAGTGAGTGATAAAGTATATATGTATACAATATAGTTTAGTTAATCTACAAAACCTACAGTAAAGCATGGTAGGAGATCAGGACAAGCTTGGGTCTGCATCTCCGCAAACGATGTTGGTGATATACACAAAAATGGTGGCACCATCACTGCCGTAAAGTATAGGTAGATTCTGATCCATAATTCCATTCTCCTAAGAACACTATACTTCGGTCTGGTTTTTCTCTTCCATCACGACAATGATTCCAGGCATACAGCAAACGTTGTGGAACGATATCGTGACGGTAAGAGGCCGATGGAACAGTAACAGACATGGCTCGGTCTGCATAAAATCTCAATATTGAAAGTGTTCGGGATTATGTAAAAGCTGAGGAAGTCAAAAGACCATCGAAATATTTGGCAGAATTGTGGGGAATAATAGAAGACATTTGGAACAACATTCCTCAATCGCACATTGATAAACTGTATGGTAGCATGAAAACAAGGTGTAATGCTTTGTGTAAATCAAAGATATAACGTACAAAATACTAGCACACTACACAACTTACTCGCTTTTCTTTTGCATTTTGTATGATGATTTTTTAAATAATTAATATATTCACAATCTAGTTGCCATTGTTCGTAGTTTGAGACTACCTGTATCGCTTGTATGATTTTATAATTGTTTCTGATTTATTTCCATTACTATATTATGTAGTTGGGTGGGGAGGAGTCTCCGGCAAATACATTTAGCCCTGTTTTTAATTATCAAACATGCCTGAAATAGCGAATTATTATTAAGATATCTATTATAAAAAAAAAATCAATTACTTTTGGACAATGTGTAGAGTGAACAGAATGCTTCGTTAAAACAGGAAAATGTTACAGACTTATTGAACTCATCAATAAAGCCAGTTATGTTATACAGATTGACTTTATTAAGTAACTTGGTAAAGATAGACATACAGATTTCGCCATTATTATTTTTTCTTTGTATGCTTCAATTACCAAACAAAGATGTTCGAAAGAAGCCATGACTGACTACAAATTAATCAAATACAGCTATCACAATATAAATAACTCCATGTATGATCGAATAACAAGAAAGAATGGATATTCAAGGCATGATGGTAGACTTGCTCTCCTGTTAAACCGTACGCTTAAACAGCGGAGATCTTCCGAATGTTCGTAATTTCTTATATATTCCAACCTCCAAGTTAAGAAGGAAAGTGTTGTCATTAGTTAATACATGAAACTGATCCGAATTAATGAAAAAATGTAAACATATAAATTTGGCAGAGTATACAACTAGTTTTTTTCAAATATCAAACTTAACGAAGAATATATGTCATAATTTATGTTTCCTTTCGACTTGAATATCTTTCAGATTTCTTTGTTGTTTTTTTTGTATTTTTAATGGTTGGAAATGTATAAATCTACAGCGTCTAGATGAAATTGGGACCACTTTTGTTTTTTACCAATAAAACTAATGAAAGAAACGCGACATTTATTTTATTGAAAAATAGAATTTTATAGCGATTCTCAACCTTTTGTAGAAATCCTTTCTTACATTTCCTTACAAATGTTAATAAAATAGAATCTTGACTACCTGCCAAACTAAACAGTTCTTGTGCTTCCAGCCTTGATGAAACGTTGACTGAAAAAAAAAGAAGTTTTTATCATTATCTAGAGAGTTAAGGTCGTTTTTTTTCTTTTCTAATTTTATTGTCAAAATGTCTATATCCCTCCCATATGCACTACAAATTATGAAAAAACAACAAAATATATTGACTATCATTTGATAGCTAGATTGGATCTTGATTTATGGATTTGGTTTAAGACCATTATTGTTGGATTTAGTTAAAACCAAATGAACCTCTCTAGTGTCTATGACACAACAATACTAACAGATCAACGAAGTTATTTGAAAGAATGGTGACTTGTGACTGAATTAGATTTTAATATTGATATGTCTCACTTCCAAGATCCTGGGTCACGTTCGTTTCTTTTCTCTTTTTTTCCTCACAAATGATTAGTTTTCCTTTGTTTTACGCGCAGAAATACAATTAAACTGTATTTGTATATGTATTGTTATACTATTCTTTTTTTCTAAAGTAAAGCCTGGTCACTTGCAGATTCTCAAAACGTTGTCTTATAACATTCTTCAGCAGTCTACATAAGTAATTGCGCTAGACTTAATTTTTCTAACGTGGTTAATTTAACCCTTCTTAGAAACTAACATTACAATATTACCTTAATAGCAGTCACGGGCGAGATACGATGAAATGTGCTTAGATATCACTATAAACAATACTACCTTATTAACTATTATTTATTATTGCTTATTTAACTTTGTAATAATAAAATGTCGTTTCGGCCTAACGATTTTCATTGTAATTTATGACGGCCGAAACGTCACTACGTAATTCTAGTTTTCACTTAACTTCCTTGACTATTTTATTTTCATTCTTACATTTTATCATATTGTAGATTTCTTTAGAAACCGTAATTCATTTGGAAAATAAAATACATATTTTCTGGTGTGTAAAAACGCACACTTAATAATGCCTAAATTCTGGGAATCACTCTGCACGATATTCATAAAATCAGACAATGAATCTGAGCTTAAAATCAGGGTAGGGTGAAGTGTTACCAATTGTTACTTTATGTATCTCAAGTTACATACTAAATTAGAAAGAAATACTTTGATTTCCTTCTGTATATCTAACACTATAAGAAAAGCCGTTGACTGAAGAGCAGTGTTAAAGCTGGGGAAACGATGTTAACCAACCAAAGAACTAGAATAAAAACGCAAGTAAAGAACATTTGAATCCTGGTGGTGCTTTTGAATATATAGGTGTAATTGGTTTAGTGTGCTTTGAATTTCGCGCAGATCTACTCGAGGACTATCTGCGCTAGCCGTCCCTAATTTAGCAGCGATAGACTAGAGGAAGGGCAGCTAGTCAACACCACACACAGCCAACTCTTATAAGGCCCCCACAACTGAAAGGGTGAGCATGTTCGGTAATGGGAATTTGAGCTCGCGATCATCAGATTGCGAGTCGAAGGTTTAATTGTATGAACTGCTTCGACATTTTAAAAAACATTGTGTAACAGCAGCTGGAAACAAAAGCCCTAAACAGACCAAATAACGTGCAAAACCATTTCGTATAGGTTCATGTAGCTAGTGCAGATCCACGTGATGAGATAACCTCTGGATAGATGGTTAACAAACCTCATGGAGGAAGAGGAGGAGTGACGGTAAAAGATCGAAATCCTGATAGACTTGTCACATTGAAGGGTATGAGTAAGTACATGATCTTCAAGCTGATCCACAGACGAAATCGTTTTCATCTTCATAAATGTTTTTGAAACACCTGGCACGATTATGATCACCTGGACTTTCAAAAGAAGAAAAATAGAACTATCACTGTTAGAATGATGACAACTTTTCCCAAACGATAGGACTACGTACAACCATAATTCTACACAAACATAAGCTCTACATATAACTGTGATGTCACACAATTTCGAGGACTGCATAGAACTGTTATTTAAGCCAAACTAAAACACTACAGAGAACCACGATCCTACTATTTACCGATACATAATTATATTGTTTTAAAGCTACCGTCCTACTTATATTTAATCAAATTCACATCATCTGTAATCAACAACATACTGCAAGTCATAGGATACTTCACTAACTCCTTGATGCTTAAGTCATTATTGTATTACAAGTCATAGGATACTTCACTAACTCCTTGATGCTTAAGTCATTATTGTATTACAAGTCATAGGATACTTCACTAACTCCTGGATGCTTAGGTCATTATTGTATTACAAGTCACAGGATGCCTCACTGATTCCTCGATACTTAGCTCAGTATTGTATTACAAGTCACAGGATGCCTCACTGATTCCCTGATACTTAGGTCAGTATTGTATTACAAGTCACAGGATGCCTCACTGATTCCTTGATACTTAGCTTACAATTCACAGAATGCCTCACTGATTCCTTGACACTTAGCTTACAAGTCACAGAATGCCTCACTGATTCCTTGATACTTTGCTCAGTATTGTATTACAAGTCACAGAATGCCTCACTGATTCCTTGATACTTTGCTCAGTATTGTATTACAAGTCACAGGATGCCTCACTCCTGTGACTTGTAATACAATACTGACCTAAGTATCAAGGAATCATGCCTCACTGATTCCTTGATACTTAGGTCAGTATTGTATTACAAGTCACGGGATGTCTCACTGATTCAGTGATGATTATGTCAGTATTGTATTGCAAGTCACAGGATACCTCACTCATTACGTGATGCTTAGATGAATATTTTAGTCTATAATTTGGATAATGACTTCAGAAAATACTTTAAAAAAGAGTGGAAACAAATGTTTTTACAGATTTAAAGACAAAATAGTACTCCATTAATGAGATTTATCGCTCATATTCCATGTTCAAATATTAATAATTTGCAAAGTTGGCTAGTTATTACGTACATCAATTCTGAGTTACTTATGACAAGGCTATGACAATGAATTCTGTAGTACGGATAGGTAAGGGCAGTGGCGGTAATAAAGACAAGGATAAAAAAAGACAACAAAAAAAAAGACAATGGTTTGTTTGAAATATATGTTTGAAATTAAGAACCAAGCTACACAATAGGATATCTGCGCTCTGCCCAATACGGGTATCAAAACCCGGTTTCTAGCGTTGTAAGTCCGCAGCCATAGCGCTGTGCCACTGGGGGGGGGGGAGATAATGGAAAACAGTCAATCGGAAAAAAGACATAGAAAAAAAGTCAATCGAAAAAAAAAGACAACGGTAAAGAAGACACAGAAAATTACCCAAACAGGTCAAAAAGTAAAAAAAAAATCCCATACTTTAGGAATGGTATAAAATAACAAATTTCGAAATAAGCATTTTTACTTTTTTATTATCACATAGAATGATTAGAAGCCATATTGAAATATGTATAGATGCACAAAGCAAACAAATTATAAGAAAGGATAAAAAGAACAGTATGGTTTAATAGCAAGTGTTGAACAATAATGGGAAGCCACTGAATAGAAAACTGTATTAATAACAGCTTAATTATTTATTGTATCAGTTGGTTTACATGGTTTCAATAATTGGCTCAGATGTGGCTTAGCTGTTATTGATACTGTTTTCCAAAGTACTTTTTTTGTTTATTTTTCTACCTGTTTGTGTAATTTTCTTTGTGTTTTTTTCCGACTGACTTTTTTCCATTGTGTTTTTTTGTTATATTTTTAAACCTTGTCTTTATTATCTAAATTCATTTGAGGGTTCACATTTTTTATTCGCAGTTTTCATTATAATGTTAATTAGATTGTTTATTTATAGTTGTTTTCAAGAAATATGTGTGTATATGCATTGATTTCAACCCACTTCTAGCAAAGCGAGACAAGTTCGTTTATATGTTATTACTTTAGATAACATCAATTTTGGACTCACTGAATCAATTCCGAGGTTTTTTTCATCTACCACCAACATACTACAAACCAAGAAGCTGCATAATACACTGTAAATTAACCAATTTTATCTCCTCATTAACACTCGCTTGTTTTTTATTTTATTTTTCCAACGGGATAGGCCTTCGTATTACCTGGTACTATAAAATAATTATCTAAGTTGATTTCTTTCCTGTACTCGAGAAAAAAATTGGAATGCATGAGCATAAGAGAAAAACTGGGCCTCTCGGCCTGAAGAACAACCTCACATTGCCCCTCTCCCTGCCTTTATCCTGTCCTCACAACCTAATATTAACAAAGCTCCCTAGGGCGCTGTAGTAGTTTTCATCAGAACAACGGAGCTATGAAAAATACGTTGGTTTATATGACCGTAATTTGGGAAAGGATTGGGGTGATGGTTGTGCCCCTCGACCCACCGCCTTTCTACTTCCCCATCATAATCATCATTCTCCCTCCCTTTAAAACAATGTACTGGACATATAGGAAGTCATGATACAGTAGAACAGTTTAGTTGATAGACAGGTGTGCTTAGAAACTATGCAGTTGTAATTGAGAAAGAAAAATTAACATATACCCATGTAAGAACACGTGCTTCAGGCAAACCGGGTTGTTAATTGTAGAATATCATTTGTTTTTAAACTTTATATGTTAGTAACCGAAAACGTTATCAAGAAAGTACATGCTAGCGTGGCAATATATAAGAACTTGCAAGATTCCTTGTTTTTTAATTTAATAATGTGATGTACCAAAACCAAACCTAAAAACAACTATTGTGAACTCATTGTGATATAACATGCTTGCCTACCCAAATTATTAGAACTGGAATGGCATATTTTAAAATCTGTAACTTATAGATTAAGAACTTTTATATTCTGGCATTGACCTCTATAATCCTGAGGGTTGCACACACATTTATCAGTAATGGCGGATTAGTTATCATCCGGGCTGTAAACACTTCTACCAGTAGTTAGGGTTTCATTATATACCGCATTATTCTGTCACACCTTTATAAGCAGTAAAATGTTCATCGTCACTTGCATGTCTTATACACATCTCTACTAGTAGTGATGACTTAATCATCACACATGGCCTGGTGGTTGGGCGTTCGAATCCTCATCACTGAACATACTCGCTCCTTCAGCCGTAGGGGCGTT